TGAGTGCCACTGTAGGAGTGACCTGTGCAAGGTTGGTAGGATTAATGTACAAGGTACATTTTGTTAAGTTATTGAACATAATGAAAGAAACCATTACTTAATTTCTATGCACATTTTTTTTTTTTGGCACTCGGAGAAATAGCCTGGTGTTTTAGTCACTGATATAAAGCATATACCATATCCTTTATTAAGGTGCAGCCCCAAGCTTTGAGGTCACTTTGTTTTATATATTGAGTTTTGCTTATGGAGTTTCTAGTAAGCCTGTTTTGTTAGGTTAGCTAAGTCTGATGGCATATACAAATGAGCTCAGTGCTGTACTTCTTTCATTGTGAAATGAGTTCATTAGTTAGAACCAGGCTTATGTTGAAAGCCATAGATGAATAAGATATTTTCCAAACCTATGAATGGTAGTACTAGCCGAAGCATTACTGTCCGAGAATACAATTTTATATCCAGAAAAATGGTTCCCTCCCTCCCTCCCTCCCTTCCTTCCTTCCTTCCTTCCTTCCTTCCTTCCTTCCTTCCTTCCCAGTGAAGACAGATCATTGCCTCTTCCCTTATTGGAAAAAAAAAATCTATTACCAGGAAGTCCATGTTCTGCCCATGCCTAACCTCTATCCCTTTGTACATTAATGTACAAGTAGCAAGTGGGAAAAAAAAAGCTGACTAAACAACAATGTCTTCTTATCTGTTATTGAGAGCCTTTTCTTTAATGGGTAATGTATAGGAAACATTTTATGTGTGTTCCTCATTCTTTCTAGTTACCCAGTTTTCCAGTTTTATTCTTTCCAAGTCCTGATCATTCTCTAGCGCATTAATTGTTTGTGATTCAAAGAAGATTTGTACCTTAGTGACTCTCCTTCCAAATGAAATGGCCAACCTGTGGTGCAATTTTAACTTATCCCCACTAGGAGGCTTTTCTTTCACTGCTGTTTTTCAGGCATAACTTTGATTGAGGCTATAATATTGGATCAGTCAATTTTTGGTTGGTGCCAGCATATTATACGTACCTAATTTTTCTCTTCCCAGTCTTAACTTTTTTCTTCTTTCGTTAGCTTACTTATCTCTTAGTTATTGATGGGAAATGCAAGGCAAAGCAACAGATATTTCATCCCAACATGATTTTGACAACTGGACCCCAGAAGCTTTATTAAGTTAGTAGACTCCTATTAAGACAGCAGGCCCTTGCATTTTTTTGAGTTGTGTAGCATGCATGTGTTATATCAAAACATCAGTTACTACTTCTGTTCTTTTAGGTTCAATCCTCATTATCATCAATGTGATATTGTTCTGTGGAACGTCTAGGTGATCAGGATCTTTCTGGATTAGATTATTGTGACAATGGCAGGAAACTAACATAGTATCTTCAGAAAAAGACAATGAAGGTATACTGTGTTGGTTGAAAGTAAATTGCTTGTCATGGTGCTTGCAAATTAGTGTACAGAATAAAAAATATGTGGAAGATCATTTGCTAATAACCCTAACTCTGTGGATCAGGAAATCAATGTAGGATTTCTGGCAGTTACTGTGTCTTTCTAGTATGCATTTGGGACCTGGGGGAATAACTGTAGGGAAAGTTGACAGATTGAACTTACTTGAACCTACAAAGAGCCAGTTTGTGCCAAGACTTCATTTACATTGTGACCTTTCACTTTGAAAAATCTCTAGGAATTAGCATCATTTCAGGAGGCAGAGTCTGTCAGTGCCCTAAAATTTTGAGTATTTTAATTAGTACACAGATAGCTAGTAAACAGCTTCAGGTGTCTTAGGGAATATCTTAGAATAAAATTTACAGTACACACTTGTGTCTCTGTTGTATTGTTTTTGTGGGGTCCAGAACTCCCATTTAATCCAGCGATTTTATGTCTGTAAACTACTTGTGCTTAGAAACTCTGGGAGTGACTGACTATCCATTTTGGTTACTGAAGTTGAGATTTAAGCTGCCAGGTTTAAAGTTTCTGTTGTTCATAGATCAAGTAATGTTTTAATGGCCTGACCTTAAATTTTTTTCCATAGAAATACTGAGGCTTAGTGAAGCACTACTAAAGGTCTCTGCAAATTGATTGCTGCTTTTGTCCTTTAGTGTAATTGCTCATATTTTTTCTTATCATTAAATTTTGCCATTTGATTTCTACCATTCTGGTATCTTATCATGCTCATTAGGAAGACTGTCAGTGGTATCTTGTACTCATTTCATTCCAGCCCACAGAAGAAAGCCACTACAAAGTTTTTCAAGGATATAGATTCGTTTACTAATATATTTTTTAATCCTAAAATGTAGTGTCCTTCATGACTTCATGGATGATGTTGTAGGAGGGTATATGTACAGTAGACATAAATGGGCTAACGAGCTGAAAGACACTTCTTAGAAGAAGATATACATTTGATCAACAAATATATGAAAAAGTGTTCAACATATCTAGTAATTAGAGAAATGCAAATCAAAACTAAGATCTCACGCCAGTCAGATTGGCAGTTTTCAAGAATACAGACAATAATAAATATTGGGAGGATGTTGGGGAAAAGGCACACTTATACATTGCTGGCGAGACTGAAAATTGATGCAGTCAATCTTGAAGACAGATGCAGATTCCTTAGAAAGTTTGGAATGGCACCACCATTTGACCCAGCTATCCTACTCCTCGGTTTATACCCAAAGGATTTAAAATCAGCATAGTACAGTAATGCAGCCACATCAATGTTCATAGCAGCTCAATTCACAATAGCTGAACTGTGGAAGCAACCTAGATGCCCTTCAGTAGATGAATAGATAAAGAAAATGTGATATATATACACAATGGAATATTACTCAGTATTAAAAGAGAATAAAATTATGGCATTTGGAGGTAAATGGATGGAGTTGGAGAATATCATGCTAAGCAAAGTAAGCCAATCCCCCAAAATCAAAGGCCAAATGTTTTCTCTGATAAGTGGATGCTGGTCCATAACGGGGAGGGGGAGGCATGGGAAAAATTGAGGAACTTTGGGCAAAGGGGAGAGAGGGCAAGGAGGGTTCATAGGGGCAGGAAAGATGGTGGAATGAGATGGACACCATTACCCTAGGTACATGTATGACTGCACATATAGTGTGATACTATCATGTGAAACCATAGAAATGTAAAGTTGTACTGCAGTAGTGTACAATGAATCAAAATGCATTCTGCTGTCTACAAATTTTTAATTATAATAGCGGTAGAGAATTAGACCTAGTCTATGGTAGCAAAATGAATTGAAATATATTCAGTTAGAGATATGAAATATGAAATATAATTAAGTCTAAGAAAAATAGGAGTGAGATTGATTTGGTGAAGAAAAACTTTTCTTTGAAGGAATAGCTTATGTTCTTTGGTGAAATGTTAAGGACCAAGGTAAGATAAGATTAATGAAGACAGTTGTGGTTATTAACATATGCTACAGGATCAGAATGGAAAGGTAGGATTCAAATCAGGGCTTTAAAGGGTACTCTATTAGAAGAGCTGTCAGGATTAATGGAAAGATTAAGAAATAAAATGTACAAAGACATTTTTTTCTTTAATTTCACTTTAGGGATGGTGTTTTAGTCAGCTTTTCAGTGCTGTAACTAAAGGATCTGACCAAAACAACTGTAGTGGAGGAAGAGTTTATTTGAGGGCTCACAGTTTCACAGGTCTTAGTCTATCAAATCCGGCTCCATTTCTTGGGGCTAAAGATGAGGCTGAACATCATGGTGGAGTGTGTGGCAGAGGGAAACAGTTCACATCATAGTAATCAAAAAGCAGAGATTCCACTTGCCAGATATAAGTATATTCCCAAAGCCATGCCACAATGCCCACCTTCTTCAGCCACACTCTACCACTTCAGTTCCACTCAGCTATTCCCTATTAGGGGATTAAATCACTGATTGGGCTAGAATCTCATAACTCAATCATTTCTCCTCTGAACCTTTACTCTCATGTGAGCTTTTGGGGGTTACCTCACATCCAAACCATAACAGGTGGTATGGAATGGATTGCAGGGGAGCAAGAGAATGTAGTAAGAGATTAGTTGGGAGGCTGTTTATGTTAGTTGGTACAAGAGATGATTGTGACTTGGATTAAGGTAGCAGTTTAAGAGAGTAAAGGTGGATTATTTATCTAAAAGATTTAGGAGGTAAAATTGAAAGAACTGATTAGACTTGGGAGTTGAAGAAGAGAAGGCATCAAGGATAACACCAGAGGTTTCTGGATTGGGCTGCTGATATTAAGAATAATCAAGGAGGATCAGGCTTGGGGAAACATTAATGAAGGTTTAGATACACTGAGTTTGTGGTTCGAGATCTCACTAGAGTACTAGCATTGTCCAAATATAATTATTTTTCCCATTTTACAAATGAAACAGCTATTAAGTAGGCAGATCCATGATTTCATTTTTCTTAAGAAGAAAAAAGATTTGAAACATGTTTAAATGTTATTTACAGAATTGGGGCAGGGTTGGGGAGCGGAGAATCCAGAACACAGGAGTTACCAAAGATACTGGAAAGGAAAGGAGGGGTATAATCCTTAATGTAAAGCTAATAAGAAGATGGTATTAGATTTTTCATATAGGAACAATGATGTCCCCTGTATTTTATATGAAGAGAGAGTGAGGGAGAGTGCATATCTGGGTTAGTTTGTGGATTTGATGTTAAGGGGGAATTCCTCTTGATGTTTTCTCTTTTCTCTGTGGACTAGGAAAAAAAAAAGTCTTTGAAGACCACGACTTAGAGGGGGTAGAAGTGAGGAATAAAGCTGTAAAATTTCCAAATAGTCTTTGTGGAAAGTAGAGTTAATGAGTCAAATCATGACTCAATTAGAGTGTGTGATATTGTGGCCTTTGGTCCCTGAAAAAGATTTATTGGAGGAAGTGGAACTTAAGTTTGGTCTTGACTCATGGGTGTGTAAACTTCATAGGAAGAATATAGAAGTCAAGGATGAAGAGGGTTCTTAGTAGTATTCTATAATGATCTATTTGATGATAATCCTCCTTTTCTGTTAACGTTGTAGTGATTATGGAGGTGAGACCATACCAGGCCCTGCATTTGATCCAGCAAGTCACCCAGCTCCAGCTACTACTCCCTCCTCCTCTTCAGCGTTTCGACCTGTGATGCCATCTAGGCAGATTGTAGAAAGGCAACCTCGTATGCTGGATTTCAGAGTTGAGTACAGAGACAGAAATATTGATGTGGTACTTGAAGACAGCTGTACTGTTGGTAAGAATTTCTATACCATAAAGTCCTCACAAATGAGTAATTAATTAGGTATATATTCAGTTGAAATTCTTTTCTTTTGAGTTGATTGCTACCAAGAAGGGTTGTGGGGGGGGTGGGGGACAAATTGAAACTGATGCTTTCCCATACAGGTCGATTATTGTGTTCTGTGTTGAGTTTGAGGTAAGTTTAAGAATAATTGTTTTTTGTTGTTCCACATGGATGAGATGGTGTATGATGCTCTTTTAGGGCTGATGCAAATCAAAAATACTATAATTATTGGGAACATTGCATACCAGTTTTATTACTAAAACACATTCATTTTTTTGTAGTATGTTTCTTAGTTTTGTGCAGTAACAGAATACCTGAGCCTGGATAATTTGTGAAGAAAAAAAAATTATTTTCTCCCATTTCTGAGGATTGGGAAATCAAAGATCAAGGCACTGGCAGGTTGAGTGTCTGGTGATGGCTGCTTTCTGCTTCCAAAATGGTACCTGGATGCTACATCCTCTGGAGGGAGGACTGCTGGGTTCTCACATGGCATAAAGCAGAAGGGCAAAAGGAATGAGTTTTCTTTGTCAAGCCCTTTAATAAGCATCTCTAAAGGGCAGAACCCTCATTGCCTAATTACTTCTTAAAGGTTCTACTTAATACTCTCACATTGACACTACCTGATATATTCAAAGCATGAAAATCAGATGTGAGGTATGTTTTCATCTTTTTCTTTTTTTAATTTTCTCTCTCTGCCAGTTGAAAAATCCTATTAAAGGAAACTCAAAATATGTGCTTGCCATTTTTGGATAGACTTTAACTTACTTTAAGTAACTAAATTACTCTAGCTTAACCATATTGAAGTCATATTTGGTTCAGCTTATTTGATCCAATTTTGTTATAGACTGAGAAATTGTATTAATTTCTATTTTAATGTAGTTTTGCCTTAAATCTAGATAAATTTTGAAATTTTGCCTTTGTTCATTTTGTGGGAAATCATTTTGTAATACAATTTCACTAATTGGCATTGAGAAACAAAACTGTTGAAACACTAAACAATAATCAGACTATATTATTCTCTCCTTAAAACTGTTCAAAAACTTTTCATTGTTTTTTAGGATAAAATTTTAACATGACTTGTAAGTTCCTGCTTAATTAGGCCCCTGCCTATATTTCCAGTTTTACCTTTACCACTTTTTCTCTCTTACTCACTGAACTCTCATAATTGACTTTTTTTTCTGTTAACTGAATGGGTCTATAGCATTTGTTCATTTGTTTTCTTATGATCTTCTAGCTGGATGTTCTCATTATTGAAGGTAAAATATTGAAATCCTTTACTCTAATTATGTTGATTTCTGTTTCTGCCATCAGTTTTATGTTTGCTTCATATATTTGGGTACTCTGATGCTATATATTTGTAATTTTAATTGACCCTTTAATTATCATAAAATATCCTTTGTTGTCTTTTGTGATAAGTTTTGACTTAGTTGGTTTTGTTTATGTAAATGTGGCCACTCCTACTTTTCATTATTATTGGAATGGGATATTTTTCTATCCTTTGTGTATCCATAAATCTAAATTCAGTCTTTTGTAATAGCATACACTTGAATCTTTTTTTAAAATCCACTAAACTACTCTTTATGTCATTAAAAAAATCTTTAATAATATACAAATTTTAATCATATACATTCTCTTCTGTTTTATTTCTCCCCACTCTGGATATTTTATGTTATTGTCATAAATGATACATCATTTTATATTGGGTATCCATTATTTTGCTGGTTTTTTTTGCACTTTTAACTTACATAGCAGGTTAACAATGACTTAAACACCGTAATATAGTATTCTGCATTTGTCTATACATTTAGTTTTACCAATGAACTTTATATCTTCATATGCTTTCTTGTTGCTGTCTAGTATCCTTTTGTTTTAACTTGAAGAATTCACCTTACCATTTATAATGAAGGTGCTAAACTCCTTCAGCTTTTGGTTATCAGGGAAAGCTTTTACTACTTTTTCTTTTAAGATTTTTTTTAGCTGCAGACAGACATAGTCCCTTTATCTTATTTATTTATCTACTTATTTATTTATTTTAAATATTTATTTTTTAGTTGTAGTTGGGCATAATACCTTTATTTATTTATTTAGTTATTTTTATGTAGTGCTGAGAATCGAACCCAGGGCCCCGCAAATGCTAGGCAAGCGCTCTACTGCTGAGCCCCAGCTCCAGCCCCTATTTATTTATTTTTTATGTGGTGCTGAGGATCAAACCCAGTACCTCACATGTGCCAGGCAAGTGCTCTATCACTGAGTCAGAACCCTAGCCCCTCTGTTTCATTTTTGAAAGTTCATTTGCCTGATAAGAGTTTTCTCGGTTTGCAAATATTTTAATTTCCTTACTATTGCCATTTTGTTTTTTTCTGTCTTAATGACTTTTGTTACTGCCCCCCCCCCCTTACTCAGCTGTGTCTCTCAGTGGGATATACATTCCCACTCCCTTCTGATATACAAGGTTTCTGACTTCTGACAATATAATAATTAAAATGTGTCTTTGCTTGGACTTCTTTGTCTTTTTTGTCTTTGTCCTGGTGAAGTCCTTTTGGTTTCTTGGATCCGGATATCCAGTTCATTCCTCAGATTGGGAGGTTTTGGTCTGTTATTTCTGAAAATAAACTTTCAAGCCCTTTGACTTTTCTCTTTTTTGTGAGTCCCATAATGAGCAAAGTGGTTCACTTGGTGATGTGGACCAGGTCTCTTAGGCTTGCTTCAGTCTTTTTCTTTTTTTCCTTCTCTGGATAATTTTGTAATTTCAGGTGATCTGTTTTCAAATTTGTGAATTTTTTTTCTTTTGCTTTATCAAGTCTGCTGTTGAATCCTCCAGTGAATTTTTCAATTCTGTTATTGTGTTCTTCACCTGCATAATATTTTTTTTTTTTTTTTGCTGGGGGATTGAACTAGGGATTAAACTCAGGGGGCACATGACCATAGAGCCACACCTCTAGCCCTATTTGTATTTTATTTAAAAACCAGGGTCTCACTGAATTGCTTAGCACCTCGCTTTTGCTGAGGCTGGCTTTGAACTTGTGATCCTCCTACCTCAGCCTCCTGAGCTGATGGGATTACAGGTGTGTGCCACCATACCCCGCTGGATAATTGTTTTTAACAATTTCTCATTGTTGATATTCTCATTTTCCTCATACATTGTTTCCATGAGCTCATTTAGTACCTATTATTTTTCAGGTAATTTATATCCTTCCATTTGTTGGCATTGGTTTCTGGAGATTTAATTTACATCATTGTTTTTTCCTTGTTTCCCTGTTTCTTTGTGTGTCTTTTAACTGTTGGGATCAACCTCACTCTCTTCCCCAATAGCTGCCTCTTTTCAGTCTTTATGGACTTAGATTCATACAGGGAAAGAACTTTGATACCTTTTCTGTGAATGCACCTTTGGATTTACATATGTAAGTTTGTAGAGGGATTTGCTGATTTCTTTTTTTAGGAGTATGCAATCTCTTACTCTGGTGTCTTTCTATAGAATTACAAGTTCTTTGGAAGAGCTGTAAGGTGCAGTCCTTTTCTTCTTAGTGGTTTGCAGCCTTTTAGAGTACTGTGGGTCTCATCAGTGCTCTGAGTTGAGTAGCCGACAAACTAGAACCTTGGGTGGTGTCCCTCAAAGGTGGACTGTTGGATGTACACTGCACTCTCTCCAAAAGAGTGTTTAGTTGTATTAGTTGTATTAGCCCCTGTTGGCTGTACTGCAAGCTCTCTGAAACAGCACCAAGCTGTCTGGCTGTCCTTTGTTCTCAGTAGCTTGCAGGTATGTAGAGTGTGTTGGGTTCTGTCAGCCCACCAAAACAGATGAGATAGAAATCAGTGCCTTGAGTAGCATCCTGAAAATCTGGAATGTTGGACACAGGCCTCAATTCTTTTCATTCCCAGGAATGGTGTGTAGGGATTGTTAAGTGAGCATGTGTTAATCTAATCCATCATCTTTGTTGTTAATGGCTCTCAACCTGGTACCCTTTCCTGTCAGTGCTTAGATTCAGGCATGACAGAAACCAGTCCTTTAGGCAGCCTTTGAAAAAGCCTGACTACGGTAGATAGGTTTCAGTCTTCTCTTACTTTTCCAGGGAGAACTTGAGAACTGGGAGTTTTCTCAATGAGTCCCAGGGAAAGATTATGCTATAGACTTTCCTGGTGGCTTCTTTGTGTCTGGTTTCTTTTTTACCCAGAGTATAATCATCTCTTAATTGATTTCTTACAAAGGTTTTTTTTTTCCTGATTTTTAATTTTTATTGAATTGATATCTCCATAAAGGGTCAGAGAATCTGGGGCTTCCTGTTCCATTATCTAGTTGAGGTTACCTCTTTCCTGTATATTCTATTGTGTTATTTATTTCCTCTTTCATAGTACTTAATGTTTTATAATATATTTTTTTCTGACTAGATATGTTCTTCTTCTTTTTTAAAAATATATGGACACAATACCTTTATTTTATTTGTTTCTATTTTTATGTGGTGCCAGGGATCCAATCCAGTGCCTCATGCATGCTAGGCAAGTACTCAACTACTGAGCCACAACTCTGCCCCCTAGATATGCTTTTTGAATACTAAGGCCATTTCTCTTTATTGCTGTGGTTTCATTATTAAGCGCATGGCTGTTTAATAAATACATACCTGTTGACTGAATACAGTTACGTTTTAGGGAATTGATTATAGTTTTGAGTTGCTTAATGATGGAATACATGTTTGTTAGGCATTTCAGCATTGTATGAACATGTAGAGTATACATACATAAACTAAGATAGCTACAGTGTCACTAGGTGATATCATCCTAGGAATCAACATTGTATATGCACTCTGTTCACTGAAATGGCGTTGTGTGGCACATGACTATATTTGTATGAAATTACTTTATTAATAACATATGTTCAGTTTGCCATTCAGGGCTGGCATGTGTGAGGCTTCAGTTTCTTTTCATACTTTGTATGACTAGGACCACTGAAAATGGGC